TAATCAAAAAAGAAGTCAAGTCAGGCTTTATGATCGTCCCTTTCGATAAACCCCCCTTCGAAAAGTTTCGTGTCAGCCCCATCGGAGTGGCTACTAGGAAATTTTCAGGTAAGAAACGCCTAATAATTGATCTGTCATCACCACATAATTCCACGGTCCCAAGCATTAATAGCTTGATCCCTCTTGACAAATTTTCTCTCAAGTACCACGACATAGATCAGGCAGTCGAATTGATTAAAATTGCGGGTCAAGGAGCCTGGCTCGCAAAAATAGACATTACTTCTATCTTCAAAGTGATGCCTATTCATCCGGACTCATGGCATTTGTTCGGGATACGATGGCTCGGGAAATTCTATTTCGCCGTCTGTTTAACCTTTGGATGCAAAAGCAGCCCCAAAATTTTCGATATGTTATCAGAAGCCATTTGCTGGATCTTATCCAATAATTACGCAATTCCTCACCTCATTCACCTCCTAGACGAATTTCTGGTCATTTCACCTCCCGACGCAATCCCAGCCACCCACATCCTCACAGTCCAAAAAGTTTTTTCCGAGCTTGGGATCCCCATCGCTTAGGAAAAAACCATGGGTCCCGCTACATTTATCGAGTTCCTCGGCATCAACTTAGACTCAGCTAAATTTCAGCTCTCCCTGCCCAAGGAGAAGATCGATAGAATAATCCTCGTCTCCTCTACCCTCCTCGCCAGCCCAAGCTGTTTTAAAACACAAACTCCTTTCTCGTTGCTCGGGCACTTAAACTTCGCAATGCGCATCATTCCCCAAGGCCGCCCTTTCATCTCACATCTTCTCTCACTCACGTCTTCGGTCTACGCGCTCGAGGACCTCATTCCCTTATCTCACACATGCCGCGACAAACTTAAGTTATGGATAATGTTCCTTAAACAATGGAATGGCCGTTCCCTTTTCTACAATAGCCTCGTTTCGTCTCCCGTTGACATCCAACTATTTACAGACACAGCTCCCTCAATTGGCTTCGGAGGTTTTTACCAAGGACGTTGGTTTGCGTCTCCATGGCCCCCCCAGCTGCAGGGCTCACCTTAAGGCTGATCTATACTTCTGCGTCGGACCTACGCCGTAGGCTATGCGTCAGTTTTCATTTATACTTCTGCGTCGTTATCCGCGTCAACGTGAAGTACACATACAAACCGCTAGTCTGCAGTGTCCACGGGCATGTTGCTGGTGTAACCCGCAGTACCACGGCAAAAGCCGAAGAAGAAGCGGCTCGTCGGAGAAGCATTACAGCCGTGACGGCGGCAAATAAATATCAAATCATTAAATCATTATTTAAAACTACAAAAAGGAGACAACAACGGAACAGGAGATGGTGGCATTCTTTAAATCTGCACAAGGACTTGTACCACGGCAGATCAACATTGTTTGTTGCGGACAACTACTGATGTATAATGCTATGTAGTATAATAAATGATAAGACACTTGTTCTTTGCTTTGTTTTATTTTATATAAGAAGGTGTAACATTAACATATATTAAAGTGCACATAAACACACACAAAACTCAAGTACATATGGAGGGAGGGGTTCTTGCAGACCAATCACAGCGCTTGCGGTCTGCATAGAATTGACGCGCTGTTAGATTTTTGGAGAGGTGCACGTCAGGCTATGGCGTATGGGTGTGCGTCTATGCATAAGCTACGGCTTAGGTCCGACGCAGAAGTATAAATCAGCCTTTAGTCCTCAGCTTTTTTTGAGCTCTACCCCCTCGTGGTAGCAGCCTTCCTGTGGGGGAATGAATGGACTTCTAAAAGTATCTTAGTGCACTGCGACAACGAAGCAGCTGTTTAGTGTATTAATAAAGGCCGTTCTCATTCTCCCGCCCTCACGCCTTTCCTTAATATGGATCGCAGCATGCGACCAATTTATAATAATTGCCAAACACGTTCAAGGTTCAGAAAACCAAATAGCTGACTCTCTGTCTCGCTTTCTGTTTCAGAAATTCAGGACGCTGGCTCCAGAGGTGGACCAATTCCCAACTCCAGTACCTCACTATTCAGAATTAATATTCCCGTAACCCACCCATTAAAACCCCTTCTCGATGCATCGCCCTACACTATCCTCCAAGCAGTTTCTCCCAGAACCCTTCAGTCATACGTGACAGCGTGGAGATGCTTCAAGGCATTCCACCTCTCATACAACACACCGTTCCCCGATTTTTCCCTACTTTCAATCACCTCATTCGTCTCTTTTCTCAACAGCGTTAAGGGTCTCCAAGTCGGGTCCATCAAAGGTTACCTGAGTGGTGTCCAATTTTTCCACAAGCTGATGTTCGGCACTCCCTTGCCCGAAATAAGCAATTCACAAACCTCCCTCCTGATCAGAGGAATCCAGCGATCCCAGCCCACACGTCTCGACTCCAGACAACCCATAACGTTAGACATTCTCACAAAATGTATCCACACCCTCCGCAGAGGTTACCAGCCTCTTAGTACAGCCCGCACGCTCAATGCCATGTTCATTCTAGCCTTTTTCGGTTTTCTTAGATGCTCGGAACTCACCATCTCTTCCAAATTCGATCCAAAAATCAACCCGAACATCTCAGACCTAACCGTACTCGATAGCGAAACAATTTCTTTCTTAATCAAACAAAGCAAGACAGACCAAGTCAAGAAAGGTCATTTCATCTACATTTTCAATCTCTCTTCTCCAATCCAACCATACCAGTCCATTTTCGAGTACCTCCGCCTTAGAAATTCTCAGGCTAAATTCCCCCACGAACCACTATTTTTAGACGACTCCAAAAAACCCGTCACTCGCTTCTGGTTCCAAAAACATCTCAGATCCGTCCTGCAATTGTCGGGCATCGCAGCAAAGAATTTCTCTAGCCATTCTTTTCGCATCGGGGCAGCAACATCAGCAGCCCAAAAAGGCCTCTCCATGCAGCAGATCCAACTCCCGGCCACACAACTTTACCTTTCCGTCTTACGTTCGGAGAGGCTTACCCGTTCGATGCCGTGAGTATTGAGCTCCCGTCGGACGTCGGCGAGAGCCTCCCAGCTAGACAACCTTACCTTTTCCATTCTACGGTCAGCGAGGCTTACCCGTTCGATGCTGTGTGCTCCCGTCGGATGTCGGCGAGAGCCTCCTGACCAGACAACTTTACCTTTTCCATTCTACGATCAGCGAGGCTTACCCGTTCGATGCTGTGTGCTCCCATCGGATGTCGGCGAGAGTCTCCTGGCCACATAACTTTACCTTTCCGTTCAACGGTTGGCGAGGCTTAGCCATCCGACATCATGAGTCTCTACCTCTTGCCGAACGCTGTCCGAGCCCTCTCAGCTAGCCTCACGTCTTTTCCCCCCACCTGGCGAGGCTTACCCGTTCGATGTCCTGAGTTTTGATACTCCATCGGATGCTGCGAGAGCCCTCCCAGTCGGGTTTTCCTTTTCTCTCTCCCCGCCCAGCGAGGCTTACCCGTCTGATGCAGTGAGTCTCGATCTCCCGTCAGATGTCGGCGAGAGTACTCCCGGTTGGGCTTCTATACTTGCTGCCCACAAGCGAGACTTATCCATCTGATGCCGTGAGTCTTGATCTCCCGTCGGATATCATGAGAGTCCTCCTTGCTGGTCGGCCCAAAGCCTTTTTACCTTGCCAAACCGAGAGGACCCACACGTCCGTCGTCCTGAGTCTTGATCTCCAGTCGGAGGCTTCATGGGCAGGGGCGTGTCTACGTGGTGGCCAGGGGTGACACCGGCCCCCCCTGAAATCTGTCCACCCCAGGTGCCCCCCCCTACCAGATTTCTTGCGATAGGCTTGTTTTTAGTAAATTTCTAACTGCATCTGGCAGTGGCGAATCCTGTGTAGGCAGCTGCCTATGGCCGCTTTCTTCTCTTTTTTATACTTAATTTTAAGCGGTTTCTATAGCGTGATCTTAATGACAAATGTCGAAAGCGCATAATGTTACGCGATCCATGTAATGCGTGAGCAAGAATCTCTCCACTCGCAAGCGGATTTCCTGCACTCATACAAAACTGGACGTGCGCTTTTAAATATACATTGTTTTTTTTTATTTTTATGAATTGACTCTGCTCTCACTCAGATATTGCGTGTACACGCACAAACGTTGTCCTCGCATCACTGAAGACCAGAAGAGCTTTTTTTTCTAATTCAGGTGAAGAGTAGCCTAGGCTTTTCTTACTAAATGGAAGCAAACTGGTTATAGTTAGCCTTCTCTAGTTATTTATTTAATTATTTAATACTTATTTTAGTTAAGTGCTTAAATTGTAAATATACATTTATTAAATTATTTTATTTAGTGCATTTGTACTTTGTTGTTTTTGTAGGCTATACAATAAAAGCGTACCAACCAGAACTAATCACTGAGGGTGCTTCTGAAATTAGTGAGGGTGCTCTAGTCTTAATGCACATTTTCACATATTTTGTCCCATCTATTGCTATGGTTATCATTATGTCAATCACTACTACTTCGAGAGCGAAACCAGCATAAATATGCGGATGTCATTCCCGAAACTTAGTCTTAGTCTGGCGGCTGTCCTTTGCTCAATTGCTTTTTGGGGGGTACTCTAGGTTCGGGCCATTCTCGAGCTCGGAGCCCTTCCCCGGACAGCACGCCAAATATGCATTACCATACTTCAGCTAATTATATGTAAGTGTGA